CGTCCCTGTCCTTCACGCTGGACTCTGGTGCGTCTCAGTGCTTCTTCCGCGACCACACGACCCTCACGCCACTCCTCACTCCTGTTTCGGTGGCTCTGGCTGATCCTACCTCACGACCAGCCGTTGCACGTAGCTCCACTACCCTCCCGTGTCCTGTGGTCCCCTCTGGTGTCCTGCGCGGCCTCCACATCCCCTCGTTCACTCGGAACTTGGTGGGTGTTGGTTACCTCCAGGACAGGGGGATCACGGTCACCTTTGTGGGGGGTGGGAGGACTGTGGTCTGTACAGACGCTGCCACAGGTGCTGTTCAGGCCACGTTCACCAGGGAGCCCCGCTCCGGTCTCTACGTTCTCCACACCGAGCGCTCCCCGGTTCCGTCCTCCGCTCAGGTCGTTGCGTCCCCTCCAGTCCAGGTGTCCAGTCCGGTTGCTGTGTCTAGCCAGGTGGTCGTGTCTGGTCCAGTTGCAGTGTCTAGTCAAGTCGCGTTGTCTAGTCCAGTCGCTGCGTCCTGCTCCTGTCGGTCCCTCACCCACCGGACCGTCCTGTGGCACCACCGCCTTGGCCACCCGTCGATCCCCCGCCTCCACGGGATGACCGCTCACGGGCTTGTCATTGGTCTCCCATGCACCTTTCCGTCGCTCCCCACCTCCCATGCTCCCCCTTGCACTCCTTGCGTCGCCGGACGCTTACGTGCCACTCCCCACTCCTCCTCCCTTCGTCCGGCCACTGCTCCCTTCGAGACTCTCCACTTGGACGTCTGGGGCCCTGCCCCGACGCAGGGATCTGGGAGGGAGCGTTACTTTCTGGTGGTCGTCGACGAATTCTCCAGGTACACCACAGTGTTCCCTCTCGCGAAGAAGTCTGAGGTGACTTCTATGCTGATCCGGTGGCTTCTGGCTACTGAGGGCACTCGTGGTCGTCGTATCAGTTGTCTACACTCCGACCGTGGGGGCGAGTTTCGCTCCGGCATTCTTGGCAGATTCTGCGGCGAACAGGGCATCGTACAGTCCTGGACGCTTCCTGAGTCCCCACAGCAGAATGGGGTTGCTGAGCGCCGCATTGGCTTGGTCATGGACATTTCTCGCACGTCCATGATCCATGGCCGTGCGCCCCATTTTCTGTGGCCCTACGCGGTTCGCTACGCCGCACACCAGCTGAACCTCCAGCCGCGTGTCTCGCGGCCCGAGGCTTCTCCGACCAGTCTTTGGACCGGTTCCCCTGGTGTTGGGTCGGCCTTTTGTGTATGGGGCTGCCTTGCGCTTGTTCGCGACACCTCCGCGGACAAGCTCTCGTCACGCGCCATCCCCTGTGTCTTCCTTGGTTTCCCAGTGGACTCTGCCGACAGGTCCTTTTACCACCCGCCCCTCCACCATTTCCTAGACTCCCGTGACGTCCGGTTTGACGAGTCTGTGTCCTACTACACCCGGTACCCCTGTCGAGGTCTCCTGGTACCCTCTCCCCCTCTTTTCCTCGCCCCCTCTCCTCCACCTGCTCCCCCTCCTCCGGTACCCCGCCCCCCCCTGGTCCTGCCCCGTCAGGTGTGTCCCACGCTACCCCTCTACCCTCAGTCGCGCGTCAGGTAGCGTCTCCCTCCCCGCAGTCCTCCTCACAGTCCCCTCAGCAGCCTTCGGCACTTCCGCGACAGGTTACTATGGACTCGGTTGGAGTTGGAGCTGGAGGTGCAGCCGCTGGCGGTGCTCGGTCTGGGGGTGCTCGTTCGAGGGGTGCTGGAGCTGGAGGTGCTGGCGCAAGTGGCGCTAGCTCTGGGGGCGCTGGAGCTGGAGGTGCTGGCACGGGAGGTGCTAGTTCTGAGGGTGCTGGAGTTGGAGGTCCTGGCGCTGGAGGTGCTAGTTGTGGGGGTGCTGGAGCTGGAGGCGCTGGCACTGGAGGTGCTGGTTCTGGGGGTGCTGGTGCTGGAGGCGCTGGCACTGGAGGTGCTGGTTCTGAGGAGACGTTAGCTGGAGACACTGGTTCTGCGGAGTCCACTCCGCCTCCCCACCACCACGACACGCGTCTCCAGGCGGCCCGTTGGCGTGAGCGTGAGGAGCAGGTACCGTTGGAGAGGGAGCGGCAGGAGTTGCGGCGGTTGGACCTGCTGGAGCAGCAGCAGCAGCAGCAGCAGCAGCAACAGCAGCAGCAGCAGCAGCAGCAGCAGCAGCAGCAGCAGCAGCAGCCGCAGCCGCAGCAACAGACCCCGCCGCCGCAGCTGCGACCACAGCAGCTCCCTCTGGAGCGGCAGTTGTTCCCACCCGTGAGTGGCCTTCGGGCCCTTGGTCTTCCCTCCTCTCCTCCTGTTCACACTCCGTCCCCTCCAGCGTTTGATCCCACGTTTCCTCCTCCTGACGCCAGTCCGGCGGTCTGGTCTTCTCCTCCATCGCAGTCTCCTCCACCGCGGTCTCCTCCGCCAGTTGTCACACACTCTCGTGTCCGTCCCTGTCCTCCGCGTGCTCGTCCCTCGTCTCCCATTCCCGACCTCCACACTGCCCTCCTTTGTTCGTCTCTTCGTCGTCCTCCTCCTGAGTCCGTTCTCCCGTCTCCTCCTCCGTCCTCTCTCCCAGTCCCTCCTACTCCTATCACTGACTACTACCATGCTGTTCGTCCTGTTGTCTCCCGTGTCCTCGCCACTCTTGTCACCGACTCTCGTTTCCCTCCGTCGTCTGTCTCGGCTCTCACTGCCGCTGTCGCTGAGTTTGCTGCCGCCAGCCGCCTTGACTACACCACCTGTGTGGTGCCAGCTCCTACCTCCCGTCCTCTGTTCGTCGGGGGTGAGTTTGCCCTTGGCTGTGACGTCCTAGAGAAAAGAGAGTCTGAGCTGGAGAACTGGGCAGCCGCTTCTCCCTCTGTCTGTGCCATGCTGCTATCCCCTGAGGGAGACCCCGACGCCCTTGACATACCGACTCCTCGTACTTACCGCGAGGTAGTGTCAGGGGCGTGGGCCTCTCAGTGGAAAGCGGCTATGGCCTCGGAGTTAGCGTCTTGGAGATCCACTGGCACCTACGTCGACGCAGTTCCCCCTCCCAGGGCGAACGTAGTCGATGGCATGTGGCTCTTCAAGGTGAAGCGGTCGCCTGGTTCACCGCCTGTGTTCAAGGCGCGCTACGTGGCTAGGGGTTTCAGTCAGCGTGAGGGAGTTGACTTCTTCCAGACCTTCGCCCCGACCCCGAAGATGACTACTCTTCGGGTGTTACTGCACGTAGCAGCACAGCGAGACTACGAGCTGCACTCCCTTGACTTCTCCACTGCGTTTCTCAAGGGCCGACTACACGAGGAGATCTGGCTGCGCCGCCCTCCTGGCTTCACTGACACCTTCCCACCTGGGACCCAGTGGAGCCTGAGGCGGCCAGTCTACGGTCTCCGCCAGTCGCCCCGTGAGTGGCACGACACTCTTCGCTCCACGCTTCGTGACCTTGGGTTTAGCCCTTCCTCTGCCGACCCGTCGCTGTTTGTTCGCACTGGCTCCACTCCTTTCTTTATACTAGTGTACGTCGACGACTTGGTCTTTGCCACAGCAGACAGGGCAGCTCTGGCTCAGGTGAAGTCCGAACTGCAGAAGAGACACAAGTGCACTGACCTAGGTGAAATGCAGCGCTACCTTGGCCTGCAGATCACCAGTGACAGAGCCGCTCGCACCATCACACTGACTCAGTCACACATGGTGCAGCAGGTCCTTCGGCGGTTCGACTTCCAGTTCTCCACCACACAGCCCACACCTCTTGCTGTTGACCACAGACTCACTGGCCCCTTTCCGGACGAGCCCTTTGAGTCCAGTGGTCCCTACGCAGAGCTGGTGGGCTGCCTCATGTACCTAATGACTTGTACTCGGCCGGACCTTGCCTTTCCCCTCAGCATTCTTTCTCGCTTTGTTGCGACTGGGAGACACCGTCCTGTTCACTGGACAGCAGCTGTGAGGGTGGCGAAGTACCTGGCGACTACATCAGGCATGGGGCTTGTGCTTGGAGGGACTCAGCCAGTGGCGTTGACTGGTCAGTGCGACTCTTCCTACGCTGACGACGTGGAGACTCAGCGCTCGACTCAGGGTTACTGCTTCAGTCTGGGAGCTGGTGCTGTGTCGTGGAGGTCTACACGGTCGACGTCTGTGGCTACTTCCAGTGCAGAGGCAGAGATCTACGCTGGTGCCATGGCGGCACAGGAGCTTCGCTGGTTGACCTTCTTGCTCGCCAACCTTGGTGAGCGGCCTCGCTCTGCACCGACCTTGTACGCTGACAACAAGGCCATGATCCTCCTGTGTCGAGAGCCTCGACTGGAGAGCAGAGTGAAGCATATTGACGTGAGGTACTTCCTCCTGCGAGAGTTGCAGCGACGCGGCCAGGCACGCCTGGACTTTGTGGCCTCAGAGGCCAACACTGCAGACGTCTTCACCAAGGCCTTGACGCTTGGTGACCACCACAGGTTCTGTGTGCAGTTGGGGCTTGTTGAGGTAGGCCCTCGGTTGCTGTAGTCTTGTTGCTTGCTCTGCTTGTTGTACTTTCCTATATATATCCTAGTGAACTCTTGAACTGGCCTTGTGGCCGCTTGCCTGCGCTCGGAATTTGTGTGGTGTCCTTGAGATCCACCCTGAGCTTGCTTTGCTTCTTGCCTTGACTGGTCTTGTGACCGTTTGTTCACCTTGCTTGCTCTGATGTCCCTCACTTAGCCTATGGGGGTGTGTCAAATGTTAACCTTGTGATAGGCTGCAGTGAGGTACTCTCTAGTGAGTATAGCTTTGGTAGGTTTCCTATTTGTATCCTTCCCAACCCTAATTCACACATTCCGTTGCATTCTAACTATGAGAGTATGCAATGGCTCAGAAATACAACACTTAATAAGGTTTTCTTACGCACAGTGATAACTCACATCAAAGTCATCATTATGTGCAGTGCAACCAACTAGCTATTGCCTGCTGCTTCAGCTGCAGCTACCAGGTCCCACGAGCTCTATTCAACCTGACTGCCACCCATTATGCTCTTACCAGCTTGAAGCTATACTGCCAAGACTAGACCTCACTGAATAGACTTGGCTGATTGCTCCCCATTGGACTCTTCTTCATCCATCGTCTCAATGGCTTCCAGGTCGGTGTTCAAGTTACCCCGAAACGACATCCCAATTCCCATCTCTTCTGCTTCCTCATCCACCTTCACCGCTGCACTCAGCTCCTCCTTCCCCACCACCTCGTGCCTGATTCCCTGCAGCTCGTTGGCAATGTCTGACATGCTGGGCCGGCTTGCAGTGCACTCGACGGTGCAGGAGAGGGCCAGCTGGGCCAGGTGCAGCACAGCATCGTCCGGGGCGTCCATGCTCGGGTCCTTCAAGGGGCCTGTTGTTTTGGAGGAAATGCACTCCTCCACCTGGGCATTGAACAAAGTGGGTGGGGAAGGGGTGAACAAGGTGGATGGGGATGGGGTGAACAAGGTGGATGGGAATGGGGTGAGAACAAGGTGCGTGGGGATGGGGACATGGACAGAGAGTGACACTGCACAGCATTGAGGGGGGCGCCCTAAGGGGTGTTCAATGTCACATGCTCAGGTCATTGAGTCTGCCAGGTTAGTTGGAGGAGATGCACTGCTCTGATACCAAACAAGAAGGATGCAGGCAATTGCTCACTCACATAGAAGCAGCACAAAAGCAGCATTTATGTGTAGGAGAATTTGGTACTTGAACCAATAGCATGTTTTACAGTGGCGTCTCACAAAAAAGCTACACGCAGCAGCACTTACCCATTGCAGAATGTGGCAGCTCGTTTCACCATCATCAGAGTGAGGGCTGCGGCCAGTGAACACAACAAGCATGAGCACACCGAAACTGCACACACAGAGGGAGATGAATACATTCTGAATCTTGTGCCGCTTGAGATAGATGTACAAGATTTCACCTAGCTCAACATTCACTCATCCCCGATTTAACACTGCCTTTCGCAGCCTAGATTTAACACTGCCACACCAGCATGCAGAAAGACAACCCAACAATTGAAACTACCAGACAACAACGATAGTCACTCGGTCACCTGTAGCCATCGGTGTCAATTGCTGCCAGTGGTTGTTGTGAGGCGCCTCATAAACAGCTCACTTACACATCAGTGGCAGTGGTGGCCTTTCACCTGTACACATCGGTGGCAGTGGTGGCCTTGGAGGTCCGTGAGTAGATGGGATCCACATAGCCCGGTGTTCCCATCACCCGAGTCGTGCCAACAGTGGTGCCCTCGCCCACCCTCAACAGCCCAAAGTCTGCAATCTTAGCCTGTCAGATGGGTGATGAAGAACAAGCATAGGAAAAAGAACGACACGGGCATGTCAAATAAATTGGTCACTATTGAAGGTACAGTGATTTCAGTACCTATGCTTTTCGAAAATGGAGTACTGAAGAAGTCACAACACAAATCATGTTCTCACAAACATTTCTTTCTTTTTGTATTGTGGCTTTGAGATCGGATCTGAAATTCTGTGTAGGGTGCATGTTTATGATGCATCCAAAGCACTCGCTTGCTTGCCTGCATTTTTGCTCCGAGGAGAATGTTGGCGGGTTTGATGTCGCGATGCACAAGGCCAAAGCTGTGGAGGTACTCAAAGCCACGTGCCGCACCAATAAGGATGTCCAGCCGCTGCTGGAAAGTGAGAGAGAAGGACACTTCTGCATAAATACAAAAAACAAGAGAGAAAAGGACATGAGTGTGACAAGGCATGAATCGCACACTATCCATGAATGACAAACGTTGGGAGACACAATGAGTGATACATTATGTAGAGTGAAGCACATATATTATATAAGCAAACAAAGAGTAGAGTAAAACTCTATTGGTTTCGGACCCAAATACCCGTCCCCCCCTTCTAGTCAGTCTCACCACCTACTCAACCCATGCTTGTGCCAGATACTCTGCGACTGCTATTAATTTCATGACCAAAATCTTACGAGACTCAATTGGTCGCGAAAGAACAATCACTCGTTACTCATCACATCAATGTCAAGTGGAAAAATCAAGGTCAACGTCTGGAGCAAAGTACCTTCATAAATATAAAGCTCATAAAAAAGTAAAGGTCGATTACAAATGAATATGTGGTACGTACTCTTCTTGACGAACTGATCAAGGTCACCGTTGGGAACAAACTCGTGGATCAAGATTTGCTCTGGACGTGTTCTCATGTTCCCTCCAACAACGAATCCAAGCAGCCGCACGATGTTTGGATGGTTTTTGTCGGCCATTTCGTCGACCTGCAAGAGGAGAATGGAATCATGAGATGGGTTGAGAGAAAAACAATTACTAAAAAAAAAGATTTCACATGACATTAAAATGAGAGAGGTATGCTGTCGAAGAGAAGGGCCCCGCCCTCGCATGGGCGCAACCAATCTTGACGTCGACGAGGAGGACTCAACGAAGTGGTCGTCGAGTGGGCTCCTGCTGTCCGAAGAATGTGTTGGTCGAGCAGGCCCTGCTCGACGGGGTGCGGTCGACGACGTCGACGGGAGTCTCTGGTTGACGACAGTGGTCAACGAGCCCGTCGAAAGGCACTGGTCGACAAGATCCGTCGAGGAGCACTGGTTGACGAGCTTTGTTCGACGAGCTCGCCTCAGCAAACGCTGTTCGACGGAGTAGCGTCGAATTGGTCGATCGAAGCTATCTAGACTGCGAAACTTGGAGGTGTGCGAGTTTCACCTCTGGAGGCTTTGCGATGTCGACCTGCGGGTTGGTATCCCGAGGTCGAAGTGGAGCATCTGGCGCAACTGACGGCACATGGCCGACTTGGCACCTGCGCGACGGGCGGGACAAGGCACAACGTGCTCGACCGCCTACTAGCACCTGCGAAGTGGGTGCGCATGTGCGCTATTGTCAACTACGGCTCGACGCTGGCAAGTAGCCTTGCTGCAGTGTTGGCAGGCAGCCCTGGTGCAGCACTGACAGGTCGTCGACTTGCAGTGTTGGCAAGCTGCCTCCCAACTGCGTTGGCACGCTGTCGACTTGTTATGCTGACAAGTCGCCCCTGTGCTGCGCTGGAGGTTGACCTGCCTGGTTGTTAGGTTGCTAGGTCACAGACGTAGTCACTTTGCCATTGCAATTTCTATCATTCTGTATTCCCGTTTTGCTAGTGAAACTCTTGCAAATTGCCCTGTGAACATGCAAGTAGTGAGAACACAAGCAAAGCTACGATCACTCATACCACTTTTGCCTTCACCCATAGTTCAGCTCCCACTGTTGTAGAGTGACTCTCCGCATATGCCATGGTGGAATGTATTGATTAATGGAGGCTGACGGTCGCATCTGGCATGACTGAGAGGATTGACATGGCAACGGAGGTCATCGGGGGTTGTTGGATGTGCAGGTGTGGAATGTGCAGATGTGGGATGTGCAGATGTGGAATGTGCAGATGTGGGATGTGTAGATGTGGGATGTGCAGAGGGGCGAGGTGGAGTGGGAGAGGTTGGAGGAGGACAAGCCATCTAACGTCTTTACAGTGCAGATGTCAAACGTGGCCTTTACAGTGCTGCCGTCTCACCTCTCGCCGGAAATGCATGTCAATCAGTCTGGCTCGCTTGACGGCCCACAGGGTGGTGCCATCGTGTGGACACACGCCCTTGTACACGTCACCAAAGGCACCCGAGGCAAGCTGGTTGTCAGAGGACCAGTTGCTGGTGGCTTTAAGGACTTCCTCAAGGGAGTACTCTGCGCATTGAGCTCCCGGCATGCTGCGAGCCCGGCCTGTACAGGTTCACAATGAAAGGGTTGAGGGGTGGAAAGGGAGAGGGATGGAAGGGGTGACGCGCCTAAAGAAAAAAGAAGAACAAGAAAACAACTCTCGATTAGTTCAGGTAGAGGCATTGAACTGCTATGAACATGTGCGTCAGGCCTCCCCATTTTCTGGCCTCAGTTGTGCCACTCATTCGGTTTTGGGGCCGGATCCCAATTACCGCATTAACTGTGAAAGTTGCAGCCCAGTACAACTTGCAACAATACAGCTTGCAACAGCGATGGGATAGAGAGGTAGTGAAACGACACACTTTCTCGCATATGCTGTGCATCACAAATTCCCAATGATGGGATGGAGAGAAAAGGGAAAAGGAAGTGGAGAAGCATGTGAACGTACGTAGCTGCTGCTTTGTTCGCCATTTCTCTACCCAAAAGTCTTGGAGGAATGAGGATGGGTTCCATTTAGATAGAGGTTGATGGATGGAGGAAGAACAAGAATCTCCTGACACTGTCTTGCTTGCTGCTCTTTCCCTTGAGGTTTGAGAAGTCTACAAAAAAAAACAATGACTAGGTGGACTGCTGGATTCTCGCGTGTGGCCATGAAGGCGAGATGAGTTTCTTGACTTGCAGGCTTCTCTTCTTGAGGGTGAACACGTCACTTCTCCATGCATACTGTACCTGCAGCAGCAGCACGTGGTGCTAATCTCCTGTAGACTTGCCACCCCAGCAGCACGCCAATGAACAGCAGCATCACAGCAGCCACAGCAATGCCGGCAATGGCTCCCACAGAGAGACCGCCTCCCGACTGGGAGGGAGGCGATTGAGGCGTGCGGGGGGGGCTTGAAGAGGAGGAGGATGGGGCCGTTGTGGGGGGCGCTGGAGGTGGTAAGAGGGACGCTGTAGGTGGGGAGGGGGATGCTGGAGGTGGGGAGGGGGGGGCTGTAGTGGGGAAAGAGGGGGAGGGGGGAGATGAGGAGGAAGATGGAGCTGAAAAGAATTGTGTCTATATGTTCAAAGAGATGGAGACATGCATTTCACATAGACGCGCACACATATGTACATGTATCTACGAATGCATACACATATACATATGCATATGCGCACACAGAGAGAGTGATGTTGCATTTGAAATTTTGAATTGAGTGGGAAATACGCCAAAGATGTGTTATGTGCTGTAATTTCTGTGGCACAAGTAACTATTCCCCCAAAGATGAGCCAACGTGATTGGTGTAGACCCGCTGTGTCAGAACAACCACTCACGTGGTGCTGACTTGACACAAGTAGTGCAGAAGGAGGGGCATTCGCTGCAAAACGCGCTTTGAGAAGACTGCTGAACCACACATGGGGTGCTGTCAGGGGGGCATGTTACTGCAGTTTCATTCAGAGACCTGCATACACGGACGACAGTGAGGAAGGAAGGAGTGAGGAAGGAAGGAATGGGGAAGGAGGGAGTGAGGAAGGAAGGAGTGAGGAAGGAAGGAGTGAGGAAGGAAGGAGGGAGGAAGGAAGGAGTGAGGACGGAAGGATTGAGGAGGGAAGGGTTGGACCTTTGGAAGAGGAAAGTAATGAAGCACTAGCAAGACGGTTGGTGGATTTGGGTTGTTTCAAGGAACAGCAGGTATACTCCATGTTGGGTCTTCAGAATACTCAGCAGCAAAAATCCATGTACAGGCTACTTAGAGACTCCACTGATGCAGTCCTCCTTAGAGGCGCCAGCAGATGCGCTTCACAAGCTTGGTTTGCGGCACTTGAGGGAAGGCACAACCGAATATCTTACAACTCTTTGAGTTTGGGAAGTTTGGCCAGTGCCTCACAATCATATCTTACATACCCTCGAGTTTGGGAAGTTTGGCCAGTGCCTCACAATCATATCTTACATACCCTTGAGTTTGGGAAGTTTGGCCAGTGCCTCACAATCATATCTTACATACCCTTGAGTTTGGGAAGTTTGGCCAGTGCCTCACAATCATATCTTACATACCCTTGAGTTTGGGAAGTTTGGCCAGTGCCTCACAATCATATCATACATACCCTTGAGTTTGGGAAGTTTGGCCAGTGCCTCACAATCATATCTTACATACCCTTGAGTTTGGGAAGTTTGGCCAGTGCCTCACAATCATATCTTACATACCCTTGAGTTTGGGAAGTTTGACCTGTGTCAGAAGGAAATTATTAGGCGACCATGACTCGTTTAATAGGTGCGCCACAGATCATACCTTACAGTTCCTTGAGTTTGGAAAGTTTAACCGATGTCGGAAGGAAATTATTAGGAGACTCATGACTCGTTAATAAGGTACCTCACAATTCATATCTTACAGTTCCTTGAGCTTGGAGAGTTTTCCCAGGGTTGGGGGGAGGTATCCGGTCAGTTTGGTCCATGAAACTTCCCTGCATGGGGGCATCGTTGCGCATACGTAGAGCCAAGCCCTTGTTCCTCCGCATACAAGAGACAAAGCGTTGCTGTGCATACACAGAGCCATGTAAGATATATTTGTTCTTGAGATGAGTCTGAATGAGTTTGAAAAGTTTGGTCAATGTCGGAGGGAGGTATCCGGTAGGATTGGCCACCGCCTCACGGGGAGCATTGTTGCACATATGCAGAATCAAATCGTTGTCTTGTTGTTGATACGAAGAGCCAAAACAATGTTGCAGATAGGCATGACTGGACTGGGTCGAACCAGGCCTAAGCAACAGCCTCCTGCCGCACGTCATAGCCTCACTCACTGCTCTTGCATGTCTTGCTGTACTGTTCCAGATGGCACTTTTGAGTCGACTCAAAAATCATCTCTTGCTGTACACGTCGTGCTGTTTAGAAGACACTCACAGGAAAATGGTGTAAGCAACTTTTGGGTCGAACCAAAAGTCACCCAGTTCACTGCTCTTGCAGGTCGTTCTGCTGCTCTGAGGGCACTCATAGGCATATGGTACAAGGCACGATCTGGGCTGCTTACAAGGTTGTGAGCTGCAGGAGGTTGCCAATGGACTCTGGGATGCTGCCAATCAGGTTGTTGAGCGAAAGATATCTGAAGCAGGAATGGCAGCAAAATCATTAAGTAGTAAACATTGTGACCTGTTACTACTAGAAACAAGACAGACAATGAATGTGATAGAAGCAATTCATACAATGCTGAATAAAGGGAATATCGATTGCTATGAAACAAACCATGGTAGTGAACAGTAACAAGAAGCAATAATTTCGAATATAGGTACCATCAAGAAGTTCACAAAGGAGAAAGGCCCATAGTTCGTCTAGTCAAAGGCCTTACAAGCCAGTCAGATGGATAAGGTTGCCTATTGTTGCCGGTATCGAGCCCGTCATTTTATTTCCCAATAATGATCTGTAATTTGTACAACGGGGTGGGTAACAGCAAAAATTGCAGGGCTTCAGCATTAGTTTGAGACACCTCAAGAAGACATCACAACTCAACAGGGTCGAGGTCATGGCGCAAGTTGCTCTCAGCGCATGTGTCGATAAAAGCTTGAAAGGGATGAGAGGTCTGGAAAGCGACGAGCTGTTCTGGATCAGAAACAGGTAGGCATGAGCAGCAAGGCGAGTTCCTATGTTGGTCTGGAACCGACCTCCCTGTAGGCAGGACGCTCCCCGGACGCAAGTCCGGGCAGCCTAATAAAAATCTGGGCAGGTGAAAAAATCAGCGAGGAAGTGGGGAGGCGGACTTGACATTGCCCAAAGATGTATAGTTCAGCTTAGAGTGAACGATGGCTGCTTAATGCCCGCGGCCCCACTTGCGAGGTAAGTGGGTTATTATTCTTGTTGTCGAGGTGCGTGCACCTCAGATTCGCAAAAAGGGGTTTCAGGTGGTGCAAAAAACTATGATTGTTTAGAAACGTATGTGGGGTTGGTTATCTCATGGAAATTAACGAATTTGAAAGAAGAGCTTTTGTTATTTGGGAACTTTGAGGAGCAATGCTCTTCAAAGTTCAGGGTTTCGGGTTTAGGGTAATTCGAAATATAGGTATGGCATATACCATAGGCCTATGATACATTGATACTTACGAGGTCAAGTTGATCTAGATCTAGAAATGGCCTTGTCTATCCAAAATTCATATCTCAATTGGTTGAGTTTTCTAGAAGCAGTGCGGTGAAGATCGGTAAAGGGAGGGGGGATTGATTGGAGACGACATTGTTCACAAATTTGGCGACTCCTGTACGAATTTCAGTTTTTCTATCCACAATCTCTCCTACGCCTCCTCCTACAGTTTAGCCAGCATGTATTTTTTCTGTCTGCCCGATGCAGAGCAGATGCGCACAAACGTAATGCAGTCTAGCCGACGAGTTTTGTATCTTGACCTAATTTCGGCATTAGCAATTAGCAGGTTGACCCGACCCGGCCAGGTCAGGGGCATCCATACCCCCTGACTCGACCCGGCCAGGTCGGGGGCATCCATACCCCCTGACTCGACCCGGCCAAAAGCCGGGTCAGATTGGGTAACAAAACCCGACCGGGTCGTAAGGCCATGCCTGAATTGCGCCGAAATTGTGGTTCGATTCTCCGTGCATTGTCTAGGGGGGCTTCCCAGTTTTTTTTACTAGCGACCACTGATTGGTCCTGTATCACATGTCAAAGCAAGGAGGTGCTCATTAAACACTCACAAAGTGATTTTAAACACTCACAAGGAGGATTGAATTGAAACGCTAGGGTTCATACGCAAACCACCCAACCTTGTAAGAGAGTGTTATCACCTGAATAGCGATCACTGATTGGTTCTGTCCTGCCTCACACATCAAAGCAAGGAGGTACGCACTACACACTCACAAAACGTTCAGATTTGCGGGCTTGCCAATAGAGTCCGGAATGGGCCCTGTGAAGCTGTTGTAGCCAAGGTTCCTGACAATGACATTGGAAGGAGTGATGACGACGGGAGAGCATTCTTTCTTTATTACGGATGCAGGGATGAAGGGCTGGGCCCTTTCAAGCTGCTGAAGCAAAGGTTCCTGACATTGGAGGGAGGAGAGATGATGATGGGAGAACGATGAAAGGTGTGCCAGTGGTGAGACAAATATGGTCGCTCACCACGTGGAACAATAAAGGTTGCACGTGGTTGCTGGAACAATAGAAGTTGCTCGCAACCTATAGGCTTAACAAAACTTCCTGTGACTCTGCCTCTGACTCGGCCTCTCACTCTGTCTCTGGCCCTGACTTTCTATACAAGGAGATTTATCCCGTTGTCATCCTCGTTGGTTGCTGTCAACTATGTGATCATTTCTCCCAAGGATCCAGGCAAGGCAAGTTAGCTCCTGTAGGAGATCAAATTTTGGCGAATTTGCTTCAAAAGTACTTTTGGAGTCTGTTCGTGTTCCCATTTAAAAGTTGAGCCAGTTAGATTGTTTAAAACAAGATTGCTGCATGCGTTATCAAGATTGCTGCATGCGGTGAGAAAAGCTCACAGGGAAATCAGCGCTTCAAGGTTGCCCAGATTTGATGAAATTGAACCAGTTAGATAATTTCCGTCAACACTTCTGCAGTTTGTGAATAAGAAAGGTTGCAATAAAGGGAGAGTAAAAGGCACGATTCTATCATACTAAGGCAGCAAGCATACGTGCAAGGAGGAAAAGGGTCCACGCCTTTGAAATGCTATCGACATGCTTGTGGCAAAGAAGAGCAGCACAGCGCAGTGCAGTGCAGTGCAGTGCAGTGCAGTGCAGAGCAGTGCAGTGCAGTGCAGTGCAGTGCAGTGCGGCACAGTGCAGTGCAGTGCGGCACAGTGCAGTGCACATTCCATATACATGCTCACCCCTGGTGAAATGCCTCTTATAGTGCCTAAAATGCCTTCTGAGGCGCCTAAAATAATGTTGAAATGTACGTGCAGGGCAGGTTTTGTTTGAGGCTCATTTGGCTGGGAAGCGAAGGACTGCACAGCACAGCAAAGCACAGCACAGCACTCACAACGTGTTAAGACTCGTGAGATTGAAAAGCGACTCAGGAATCGTTCCTTTCAACTTGTTGAAGTGCAAAAGCCTGCAGAGAAAGACATGGAAGGCACACAAACGGCGAGCACAGAAAGGCCATAGCATATTGTATGTGGGGTGTGAGTCACGTAAAAATGCTGACGAACATTCATTTACTCACACTCGCCATTGGCTAAATTGACATCGAAAAATCATCTGTATACGCACGCAGCACATAAATTACACTCATTTAGAATATATAAGGTGCCCTCAGATGAATATAAGGTGCCCTAGGATGAATAAAAGGTGCCCTCGGATGAATATAAGGTGCCCTCGGATGAATACAAGGTGCCCTCAGATGAATATAAGGCACTCGGATGAATATAAGGTGCCCTCAGATGAATATAAGGTGCCCTAGGATGAATAAAAGGTGTCCTCGGATGAATATAAGGTGCCCTCGGATGAATATAAGGTGCCCTCGGATGACTATAAGGTGCCCTCGGATGAATATAAGGCACTCGGATGAATATAAGGTGCCCTCAGATGATTTGTCTGTCTGATCCGATCCATGCCCGCATCACGCTACCCCACACACGTTCACTCCAATCCAAGCCAAGAAGTTCACTCCAAGTCAAGCAATTCACTCCAAGTTAAGCAGTTCACTCCAAGTTAAGCAGTTCACTCCAAGTCAAGCAGTTCACTCCAAGTCAAGCAGTTCACTCCAAGTCAAGCAATTCACTCCAAGCCAAGCGGCTTACAGATCTCCAGGGTTCGAAAGGTTGCCAAGTGTGGCCGGTATCGAGCCACTGAGGCTGTTTGCATGCAGATATCTGATTCCCATAAGAGAGGAGAGCAACGAGTGGAGTAGACAACAAAGCACGGTATGGGATGGGATGTTCCACAGTGAATGTGGCATGAGGGGCGAAGAGGCATGATGGAATGAGGGGCGAAGAGGCATGATGTCATGAGGGGCGAAGAGGCATGATGGAATGAGGGGCACGTGCCGGGCAGATGGCCTCCACCAGTGGTGCTATAGCACATGCCGAGCAGCACTCAGGAAGAGGACGAGTGGCAAGGCGGAGATGTATGATGCCGAGCTACAAGGGTGCCGAGAATGAATAAGCACGTGGTGTGCGTGTGGATGCATGATGTGGCTCACATGGGATGTGGTGTAGTCGTGACGTAACGCACATGGCATGTGGTGCAGTCATGATGTGTCCCACATGGCATGTTGTGCAGTCGTGATGTGTCCCACATGGCATGTTGTGCAGTGGTGATGTGTCCCGCATGGCATGTTGTGCAGTCGTGATGCGTCCCACATGGCATGTTGCGCAGTCGTGACGTGTCTCACATGGCATGTTGTGCAGTCGTGATGTGTCCCACATGGCATGTCGTGCAGTCGTGATGCGTCCCACATGGCATGTCGTGCAGTCGTGATGCGTCCCACATGGCATGTCGTGCAGTCGTGATGTGTCCCACA